TTATCGTATGACGTGAATACTCGATCCTGTCATGGACTGTCTCTTAAGGGACCGCCGACCCCCACGCGCATACTAGCTATTTTTATTTTTTCCTTACATCTTTTCTTTTTTCTCTTTTTCTACTTCTCTTCCTCCTTATTCTCTTATCCATTTTAGTATTCACTAACCTTCTGGATCAAATTAGTAACACAATTCGATACATTGAATTGCATCCCGACATTCAATTTATTTTTGTTCATCGGACATCTGTCACTATCATCAACAATAACACCCTTACCACAAACAAACACCATTCACCAAACATCTGGTCTCGCGTTGCAATATTTAGCTGAGTACTTCCCAGCGGATTATCTAGTACCACTTACAGTATCCATCCCGCTTTCGTGGGACATGTGCTATCTGTTACCCTTAAATGCTTTAAAAAGATACCTAGTTGTCACGCACTTACAACCAAGACACGAAAGAAACGACTGATAACGGAGATTATCACACTCGGAATGGGAACGGCTGCAATCACAATGTCAACTGCAAACACGATGCAGCTCATATGTGTCAACCATAATACGGATACATTTGCTAAATCACTGGTATCACTTAGGGCTTCTCAAAACACACTCACGGCACAACTATTTCACGTAGAAGAGGTACAGTTGAAGCTTGCCCTTGTTCTCAATCACATACAAAGCGTTCTAAATCGAACCGCCGAACTTATCAACTACCATTGTATTAACATAGAACACCTATCACTTTTTGCTAGATACATGAATAAGCAACTGACAACGTTCATTAATTCGATCGAAGCTCATTTTCTTCACATGTCACTATCGGACATCTTCTCTAACCACCTAAACCTTCATTTCATACACCACCGTGACCTAAACTCAGTAATTGACTTTATCATATCTTCTACCAACGTTACTTTCCAAAATTACAATGATACTGCTGACCCATCCTTGATTGATTTAGTCAGTCGTCTCTTGGTACAAGAAACGGTACACTTTCTTCCACGAAGTAAAACATCAAATGCGACAGATTCTATTCTTGGTGTTTTATCAATAACTTCATTTTATGCGGCGGTAAAAAACCACCAAACACCTTTCCGAATATATCAGCTGCTATCTATTCCGTTTACCCATTTGGGTTTACGTGCTCAAATTGCCAATTTACCAGTAGCAATTGGTGTTGATTTTAATAATTCCCGGCTTATTACATGGACCAGAACTGAACTATCCAGCTGCGATTTTCGGGCTATGTCCGTATGCCGAGAAACCCCACCAATAATTAATATTTGGAACGACACTTGTTTATATCAAATTCTGACCGATTCCAATCTTTCTACTTGTCGAACAGAACTGTATAATGATCCTTTTTTCATGCATCAGATGGGTCAACAATGGATCATATTCACCAATAATACCCAACAATGTCATTTAAGTGTATTTTCACCAACTGATCCACCATATATTCTGAGCGACACGATGTGTACCTTATCACCAGTAAATCCAATAACTATTCTACTAAAAACAAATCTAATGTGTGAACGTTTCTCCATTCAAGTAGCTCCGGATGTAGTCGATCCGCCGGTTAATATCTGGGATTCCTCCATGATAAACCAATCCTATGCTGGAAATTTCGACCTAGATTACTACTAAAGCAATTCTTCTAAGTGGCCGAAATTACCATTTATTTCAAATGATTTTAGGGCAATTTATGACTTCATCACAAACACATTAAAAATAGAACGGATGGTAGATTTCCGGGATTTACATCAACATCCATTTGGTATTTTTGCAATAGCTGCCATTGGCATTATCATAATTTTATGCGTCACATTGGCTTACTGTTATTTTTTCTGCCGTTTAAAATTACCAAAAGTTTATTTCCCAATTCAAACGGCAACTGGTACGTTAATAACTACTTAATCAACTATTCATAGAACTTCACTGAACTTTCTTTCCTTCTCTCGTGTTTTTTTCTTTTTTTTTTGAGACGCTCAGGAGAGCGTCTCATTTTCATCCGGCAGTGTGACGAATGAAATGAATCACCACACTTCCCTCGTTCTGTTCGCACTGAAAGAACATTTAATGTTCGTCTCCTTTCTATTTATATGATATTATTGTTATTTCTCATATTCATCAGCTGTTACTTTCTATTAATATAATATTGTTGTGTTATTTCTCATATTT